TATAATTAAAAACTTATTTTATCTGGAAATTATTGGAACTACGAATTCCTGGACGCGTTTGATTAACACATCCTTGCACTTTCACAAATTTTATCTTTATCCTTAATATTTAAGAAAAGAAGCGATTTTGTGTTGTATTGATGAAAAACATTACATCTATAATCCAGAAAATTCAGAGTAGAAATGTGCGAAAGCAAACCCCCTCACTAATATCGCCAGCCCGTGCTCAGTGTTGTGTACAGAGTTTAACAAATTGAATACACCCGTGAAACGTAAGCTGTTTCTGTAAACAGGACACGAGCTCTGTTATTGTTAATGTTTACGATTCACCGAGTGTGTCCAATTGTTAAAGTCTGCACACACCACTGAGCACGGACTGACAATACTGTGAGTGGGTTTTGCTTCCGAACATTTCTACTCTGAATTTTCTGGATTATAGTTTTAATACTTTTCATTTATAATACACAACAAAACTGCCACTTTTCTTAAGTATTAAGAATAAAATTAAAAATTGTGAAAGTGCAAGGATGTGTCAATCAAATGCGTCCAGAAATTTGAAGTTTCAATAACTTCGAGATGAAATAAGATTTTTATTATATTTTAGTATGAAATGCTATAGCAACACATAAGTCATAAAATTATACAGAAAATCTGAGAAAATATTGACTTCAAATCTGTGTCCAAGCACCTTTAAATCCTCTATCAGCCATAATTTCATGACCTGGTCGTACATAATAAAAAAAACCCCACAATTCTTAATAATACCCTATCAGATTCCCTCAAGACATCAAGATCAATATATTTTCACCCTTCCTGCATGTACACACTCTAAAAGAGATAGTAGCAACTTTCCTTTGCGACAATCTGGGAAAAAAATCCGGGAAAAAAATTTTCTTGTCTCTTTAGTATTGATTATCTAAATTGAATAATTTTTTTAATAATTAAAAAGAATTAGATTGATTGTCTATCAACAGCTAGAGTACTTGCATATACATCGTTAGATTTCAACTTCGCTGTGTTTCGTTTCGTTCCGCTAAATACTAATATCCACACGGATATTGGTATTTTGCAGAACGAAACGGAACGAGATATATAATGTTCATTATAAAGAGTGTAAATCTGAACCTTATAAATGTTTCAATAAATGTTGAATTAGCTAACATTTCTGTCGGCCCATAACACATTACACATATAACGTTACACAATACTATTGAAACTAGTCTATAAATGTTTTAATTGATTGAGAAATGGTATTTGAGTTTTATTATCAGCATCAAGGACCGCAATATATAAATATATAATAGCAAATTATAAAGTGATAATGATGTGCGTACACGTGCGATTTTAAAGTCTTTCTGAAGAGTCAAAAATCTAATTAAAAATCAGGCATAATGATTCTAACTGTCCTCGTCTTTTTCATATTGCTTTTCAAAATTTAATATACAGGGTTTAATTTTTTTTTTTATAATTTAATTGAAAAAATAACAGAGTGCTTGCGTGCGTAACATTACAAGTATTCAATTTCGCGGTGTTTCGTTCCGTTCCGCTAAATACCAATATCCACACGGATACTGGTATTTAGCGGAACGGAACGGAACCAGAGAATCATGTCATGCTGGCAAAATTCGACAACTCTCTTTACTATACAAACTTGTCAGTAAACAAAATAAACGATGTACCGAAGTTCTTGACTGTAAATTTGGATAGGAATGCATCGTTAATAGATGAATATCAATCATTCAATACTGTTTACATAGTAACTACAGATGTCAGAAAAAAATAGTGCTTAAACTTGCTTACAGGCATTTTATTTTACAGCTCGCTACTTGACACTGTGGAGTAATTTATGTTAATTAAATAACATTACTTAATTTTTTTTAGTTTTACATTCATTTTTATCCCCCCCACAAGGTACCCCACAACTGGTTACGTTCCGTTCCGTTTCGTTCCGCAAAGTACCAATAGCCGATACGATACGCAAGAGCATGTCCTACGTATATACAATTTCTAAAACGAGGTCAATTATTGACAAACAAATTGATGAAACAAGAATATCACCAGTCTCGTTTAAAGTTATCATTTCGTTAGTTCTATGGTCGATACAATGACCTTGTCAGCAAAAACAATTTATCATTGAGTCAAATGCTGACTGACATTTTTCATACTAATCTTTAGGCCATTATTTACACACTGAATTGTCGACGGATTTTTCCGTTATTTCCCGATCATGACAAGGAGCACACGGCAGGTTTCACCGGTCTGCAGGGGATGCTCACTCCTCCATGGCACCTGATCCCATCTCTGATGTCTTGGAGGTCCCTGTTTGCTCTGCTCCTATTTTGTATTGTTTAATGGACTTTTGAGCTTGAATACTGTTCGTTATCTCCATATATTTCATGTACAAATATGTCTAAAGTGGTTTTGTCTCATTTTTTTTTTTTTAAATTTATTATTTACAAGTCCATCGACAATGAAAAACTATAAATGTAATTTTTGCACTATATATTAAAAATTCATCAATTTATATATTTTTTTAATTTGATTTACCTATCAATTATTCATTATTTACAGTAATTAATTATATTATAAGCAAATGGAAAAAAAGAATGACTTCTCTTAAAGCAGTGTTAAATTTTCCATAGATGATCATAATAGAGCCCCACCCTAACTGCAGTACACCTGACCCATGGGTGATAAAGAACGAGGGCCTATTTGATTGGTATTTGGCAGGAATCTGGAGCACTTGAAAGTGAATTTCATAGATCCGTCACATGATACTTTAGCATTCCATTTATATATCAGGTTCCTGTGAAATTGGAAAGGGAAATATTTCCTAATATTGTGTCTTGATATGCTAAAATATATCTTGAAATATGGCTAGATGAGTCATTTGGAACAAAAAGAGATTTTAATGCCCCCGTAATCGAAGATTCGGGGGCATATAGTTTTTGCCCTGTCCGTCCGTCTGTCTGTCTGTCTAACTGTCTGTCTGTTTGTCCGCAAAAACTTTAACCTTGCCCATAACTTTTGATTGGTTGGAGCTATGGCTTTCATATTTCACATGTGTATTCCTTGTGACAAGACCTTCTTTGGGTACCATCATATTTGACCTTTTGACCTTGACCTTGCAGTTTGACCCACTTTTGCAAAATTTTATGAGACTTTAATCTTGGCCATAACTTTTGAACACTTGGAGCTTGGGCTTTCAAACTTCACAAGTGTATTTGTTGTGATAAGGCCTTCCTTTGTATACCGACATCTTTGACCCTTTGACCTTGACCTTGGAGTTTGACCTACTGTTGAAAAAAGTTTAACCTTGGCTATAACATTTGAACAGTTTGAGCTAGGGCTTTCATACTTCTCATTTTTACTCCTTGTGACAAGACCTTTCTTTGCATATCAACAACTTTGACCTTTTGAGCTTGGAGTTTGACCTACTTTAATTTTGGAAAAAAATTAACCTTGGCCATAACTTTTGAACAGTTAGTGCTACGGTTTTCATACTTCACATATGTATTTCTAATGATAGGACCTTTCTGTAGATACCAACAACTTTGACCTTTTGACCTTGACCTTGGAGTTTAACCTACATTTGAAAAACTTAAACCTTGGCCATAACTTTTGAACATTTGGTATTAGGGCTGTCATGCTTCACATATGCATTCCTTGTGACAAGACCTTCCTTTAAATAACAACAACTGTGACCCTTTGACCTTAACCTGAAAGTTTGACCTACTTTTGAAAAACTTTAGTCTTGGGCATAACTTTTGAACAGTTGGTGTTAGGGCTTTCATACTTCACATGTGTATTCCTTGTGACAAGACCTTCCTTTGGATACCAACAATTTTGGCATTGACCTTGGAGTTTGACCTACTTTTAAAATTTTTAACATTGGTCATAACATTTGAACGTTTAGTTCTAGGGCTTTCACATTTCACGATCATGTGCACCACTTGTGACAAGAACTTCCCTTGGGTATCATTTGACCTTGACCTTGCCATTTTACTTACTTTAAGAAAACTTTAACTTTTGCCATAATTTTTCAACGGTTTGTACTAGGGCTTTCATATTTCACAGGTATATTCCTAGAGACAAGACCTTTCTTTGGGTAGTATCATTTTTGATTTCTTGACTTGGAGTTTGACTTGCATTTAAGAAACTTTAACCTTCACCATAAGCTGTCATACGGGGACATCAGTGTTTCACAAACACATCTTGTTATGTTTGCTTTTACCCGAAACTTGCTCGAAATCACACCAGACAAGCTAATCATTTTTCTTTATAAGTCAGACATCTTTGTAAGAAAGAGATATAATTCTATGTAAATACCTTTCTGTTCATGTTTCAGGGTCAACTGATTATAAATTAAGTCAGTCATAACTCTTTTCTTGTTTAGTACAGCTGTACTGTAGCATAACTTCTAACTAGTTAGTTACTTCAATCATTTCCTTTCTGCGAAGAAAATTATTACAAGCTAAATATACTGTAGAAGTCAACTAACAAAATAAATATAAATTCCAAAAATATTTAAAAACAACAACAACAACAACATATACACATATTATAAAGTATTTTTTAATGTGACAATGTCAACTGGACACATTGAACGCTTGAATTTGTTGCTTATCTATTGATTTTTCGAATATTGCAGTTGGTTGTTTGATGATAAGGAGCAAATACATTAACAACCTAAGGATAAATATTTACCACATTTCATAACTACCATAAAAATCAAAGCAAGCTTATGATGTGAAAGTTCTCTTGATACAAAATGTTAAAATTTGACATAATTATTTTGTACAACCCTTCAAGCATGGTGAAAGTCTTAATTTTAACGAAGGAATAGAAGACAAAAAAAAAAAAATAACACTAAATAAGTATATACATTAACACATATGCCCGCTTTTCTTACTTAAAAAGTAGCTTGGGAAAGACTGTCTGGTCATTTACAATGTGCACCTTATATATTAACGCCGATACCCAGTCCTTGTACACTGTTTTTAGATTTTAAAACTTTTTTCCCAGCTTGCTTTTAGTTTTTCTATAATATCCAGTCTTCCAATATAATTTAATGCGCAGCATAGCTTTCCTCTGTTCAGAAAACCCTCATCCACAAGCTTTTCCAATGAAGATATAAGCATTTCACAATAATTCGCAGTGGTTTGTTCTATGGTTTCCCTGATTGATTCCTTTAATCCTAGAAAGCGTAATAATCTATTCTGATCTCTAGTAACTTGCTTACCGATGTGTTTGCACTCAGACATGGAAATAGGTTCCAGAGGTCTATACACACTTCGGTACTCATATTTTTCTTTTGTTACGCTTTCAATTTCTTCTGCAAAGTGGGCGTTATCATGATTTTTGAGATATTCTTTTAAGACATCGATGTGGTTTAGACGAGGACTGCTTCTTCTCCATTTGAGAAGAATTTGGAAGACCTGTTCTGGTAAAGGGAGATTCTTCCGGAAGATGTCTGCAAAATGGCTTTCTCCTAGTAGGTCTGTACATATGAAATCTGTATCTCTGAGCTTGGGCGAAATGAAGTCAAATACGAAATTTGTATCTGAAACATAATATTGGCCAGATAATTTCTCTATACTCTTACAGAATTTTAAAAATAATTTCACTCACGCATATTGTTTTGATGTTTACATACCATCTTCCTCCAAGACGTGCTCCATGTCCTCATCGTCTGTGTCATCCATCTAAAATGAGAAATGAAAGCAAAAGTATTGCACTGTCACACTACTGAAATCATTTGTCTGTAAATGTGTGACTGGAATGTAATTTTGGAGAGAGGAACATTTAGCAAATTTGATATCAAAAAGGATATTTTTCATGAATAGTGTTAAGTAGTATGGCTTGTGTTTCTTTTCTTTCTCTTTTTATTATACCTTTTCCCAATCCGAAAGCAATTTCACACCATCGATTATTTCTTTTTCCTTCAAGGAGCAAGTTCTGCAGTGACCACTGTAAAATTCTATTTCTTCATCACGTATAAAGCATAGATTGGTTTCGTCACAAAAAGTGCTTGTCTTACATTTAAATCCAGAAGTGATCGTTAAACTGGGATGCACAACTTTTGCAATGTCTTTGAGACTTGATGTGATGGCCTCTTTGACTTCAATGTTGACCTTTATTTCGGCAGTAACTGAACTCCTCCTAAAGATTTGAATCTGTATTGTATTATTACTACATCCAATAGCTATAAATCGATGACGATGCTCAAAGATGGCTACATTCTGGTATATACACCCCTTCTTGTTTTCTATTGTTATTGGCCACAGCTTATTAGCACAGTGTGTCGTAAGTCTTTGAAAAACGTGAAGAGCAGGAACAGGGAGTTGAAAACAAAGAATGGACGATTTTTCATAGTTGTTCAAAATTTCAGGTGAATACGGAACAGAATTCATGCATGGTACCGCTAAAATTGACGTTTCGCCATTTGATTCTTCATTCACTTTTGTTACCTCTGTAATAAAACACAATTCTTTCATATATGAAAGTAGTTCATGCTTGTGTTCTAAAAATGTGACGCTTTGTTTTTGCTTCCAAATTTCGTCCAAAAGACGATGTGAAAGCTCGCCATTTTCTTGAAACAATTTCCATTGTGAAAAGAAATTTCTCGTAATAGCTTTATTAAAGCTGCTTCTCACGGTTATGATGCATTTGAAAGCATCTATGAGAAAGTTTACATCAAGAAAAACGGAGTCTCGCAGAATGTCTGTGTCAAAATACAATATTAAACCAATTTCGTGGAAGAATGACAACATAAAGATGATGTTTTTTCTATCCAGTCTAGTATTGGTAGGAAAACTATCCTGCATTTTTTCGACATCTTCAATATTTATTATTTTTTGCTCCTTTCTTTTTTCAATAAATGTTCTTTCGAAAAGACTCCATATGTTGGGAACTAAACGTTTCCAATTTAGGTGTTCTTTAGCTATTTTCTTTATGCAATCCTTTATTTCATACAAATTGCTATTGTCGTCAAATGAGACGGAAAACTCTCTCTCATGATGTACATTTTCCAGAAGATTTTCCATTTTGCTTCTCAGGTTCATAAAGTATTCCTCAATATCCTAAAATGAAATAAATAAGGCAGATTAATCAGTCCCAGGAAGATAATGGAAACAATTTAGATAATTACATTTGTTCATTTCGCAAAAACAGTAAAGAAACCATCTCTTTTTGGATATTTGTCTGTGCTATCATCATGAAAGTGTTTCTAGTGCTGACAATATGGTACACAGGAAAATATCCAAGATATAATTTTGACGCATATTTAGTGTTAATTTTCACTCATGGACTCACATTATTATGTTCCCCAAACGAAGTTTGGGAACATATTGTTTTTCTTTCTTTTTTCAAAATTTCTTCTCCGGTACTTTTTTGTTCGCAACTGTTCTCAGAAACTATTCATCCGATTGAGATGAAACCATCCTAGAGTTGACAGGCATATTGTGTAGATGTGCTGAACAAAGGTCAATTTGCGCGCACATGCATGCACGTGAGTGTGCGTGCAATAAGTAAAATGACTGATATATTTAATATAGCCATAGCTTTTCACATTTTTGATGAAATGCTTTGAAACTCAAACCATAAAGATATATTAGAGAAGATAACATGGTCAAATTCGCATGAACTCACGCCCATGCGCTTCGCTCTGATTGGCTCAAACAAAAATCTCAATATCTTCATTGATTTGTGACAAAATCCTTTGAAATTTTAGATATAGGTATATATTATAAGGTTCTACAATATGTTATAATTATACTGAAATTCTTGAAAACTCGCGCATGCACGGTTCTGCAATTTGATTGGCTGAAACTATAAGTGGCTATAATTTCTTTCGTTTTCAACAAAACAGAATGAAATTTAGAATAAAGATAGGTATAATGAATTCCTACATTATGCTACTATCAAAATTGAATGCAAGGACGTGCATGCGCTTGTGCTGAAATCTGATTAGCTAATACTTTATAGGCTGTTTCTCTCTTACAATTCAATATAATCTTTGAAATATAAGACATTGACATATTTTATAAGGTACTATAAGAATATACCAGGTTTATGTGAGAAATCTAGAAAATACACTCAAGCACGTTTGCTGAAATTTGATTAGCTAAGGTTGTTAGAATATATATCGTTCTTAATTGTTAACGAAAGAAGACGAAATTTAGAGTATATATAAATAATACAAGTTCCTACATTATTCAATCATCAGAAATGAGTAGGACATGCGTGCACACGTACGTGCTGATATCTGATTTTGATATTCATGTTGCTCAAACAATCTATGTTTTCAGTGACATTCTTTGGAATTTAAAATGGAGCTTTTTATTATGGCATTCTATCAGATTTTGTAAATGTACATGGTAATTTTCGAAATCATGTGCTTGCATGTGTACTGTTTTGCTTATGCTCAATGTGCTATATCTGCTTTTTTAATTCTTTAAAATACTTTTGATAATAAGTTGTTAAAGTCTAGGTTTTGCTTAATTTGTTGAAGCATATAGGTAATGGGGCCCCAAAGTAAGTAGGGGGAGCGTTTGAGGAACACCTGTAACGGTCTCTGTTACGATTAAAACTAGTTTATGTTGCAGTTATCTGACTCTCAATATGTTTTTTTTTTAAAAAAAAAACCTTCAACGTATGCAGAATAAGGAATATACATTTTTTTCATACACTAACTCACCTCCTCTGATTTTCCTTCTGTATGGGTCGCTACCAGAATGATTGTTGGCGTTTCATCCCCGGAGAAGGCATTTATGTACTGCAACCAAAATCTTATGTACTCTACAACATAATTTAATTCATCAAATCAGACATCTATACTAAGTTTATAAATTAATAATTTTTTTGCAAATAAACTCCGAAACGGGTGCACCAGAATTCTTACTTACTCCTTTAAGAATACGCTATATACAAGAAGATGTCCGTAAACTATATTTAGATTTCACTCGCATAGTAAGTATCGTACATTAATTAAAAGTCTACTTTCATTTTCTATAAACAGCCATGAAACAGCAAAAACGTGAGTAAGGTGGCATTTCCGGTTGGCGGATCTAAGTTACTGGCAATTTTTAATGAAACTGACAACAAGCAATCGTTTATTTATTTCATAAATCAATTCATCACTGAATTATTCAATCAGAACTTGATTTAAATGATATTAAAAGAAATAAGTTGTATAACCGATTAAAAAGGGAAATGAGCAAGTTATTTTCGTCATTCACCGATCTTAATATTGACATACAGCACCGAGCACGATGTTAAATAAAAAAAGAGGCGATTATAGCTGCATGAACATAAAAAAGCTTTTGCGTGAATTTTCATTGAAATAATGGTAAATCATTTATAACACTATAAGTTGTGAATATATTTGTATATCGAAAGACCATTACATGTATGTAGTAGGGTTTCCTAATAAATTTATCGGTAAAATTTGTATATATTCCTCACTTAGAGCATCGTGGCAACGAACCCAAAGTACAATTTGTACTTCGTAATAAGCTTGCTTATATGAAAAGAGAAAATTAATGAATAAGGTGTCGTTCAAACACAATTAAACTGTAAAATGTTGTGCTTTAATCAATACATTTCATTTTTTTCTGAATACAGTCTTTTATATCAAATACTCGGCCTATTCATAGGGCGTTAAAAGCTTATTTTTGCACAGGTACTTGGGCCTTAGCTTATAAATATGTATGTACCTTATTGATATGTAAAAAAGTAAAGTACATTTTTTACATATCAATAAGGGACATACATATTTATAAACCAAGACCAAAGTACCTGTGAATTTTTGCCCCTCCCCCCCCCCCCTCCCCAAAAAAAAAATTATAAGTAAAATGTGCATATTCCCTGCTTTTATCCTTAACGGAAATGAAATAGGAGCATCTGAAGTACAATATCCATAACATAGTATAATTGGTTTCACAATAAACATCAATTACTGAAATTTTTTTTGAGTTTTTACAAAGGGGTGGGGTGGGGTGGGGTGGAGAAGTACATATACTTCATGCTGGATTTTGAACAAAGCATTTCTTCCTGCTATAAGCCTGTAGGCTGTCAGTAGAAACTACAATATATTTTCTGTCGGTAGTGGTATAAATTAATTTTCCCGCGCTTGCGCGCGCGGGGTTTCATCTAGTGTCTTTATAGATTACAATTTTGAAAATCAAAGAAAAAGTGAAAGAAATATTTTTTCAGAATGTGAACTGAGAAATAATTTCTAAATAGCCCCTTCCTCTTAAAAATTATGCTTTATATATCTGTTAGTTTGTTAATTGAAAGTATGAAGTTATAGATAAATAAGTTATGGAGAATATTTACATTGTTTGATTTTACTTTTGTATTCTTAATCGAGTTTAACACGTTTAAATTGACCCTGTTGTTCTTCATAAGTTTTAAAATTTTCCCCTCTGTTTTCCTTTGCGGTTTAAACTTAAATCAAAGGATGCTTTGTCGAATTTTCGTTTACAATTGGCAGAAAAACTCTGAAGGAGAAGTTAAAATGCACAGTAGACGTATGAATGTCGGTCAACTTCTTTAAAAGAAAGCTTACATGAACCTTTGGCTCTCAGGCCATAGATACTGAAAAATAAAGAGATTTATGAGTTTCTTTCGTCTATCGTCTTCAAAGAATTGTCCACAAAACTCTGTTTAACACGAATAGCCAGCTTACTTTTACAAAGGGTGAAAAAGCAAAAATGAAATTACTTTCATTTGTTCAGCCCCTGAATATCACATCAAAAATAGACATTTATGGGCTTATTCGTCTATCGGCTTCAAAGAATTGTCCACAAATGTATAACGTTAGCCAACTTACTTTTACAAAGGGGGGAAATGCAAAAGTAAAATTACTTTCATTTGTCCAGCCCCTAAACATCATATCTCCTCTTTGGTCTTCCACCACATCCTGCAACTCTCTACTCATGTCCATCACCAGGATGTAAAAGGCACTACGTCGGAGATATATATGGTGAGTAGCGTAGTACTCGTACTGCCCGGCAAAATCGTAAAAGTCAATTGTTTGAAACATATCTGCCTTCTTGCGCGTTATTTCCGGAACTAGATGAAGGAAATTGGGAATTTTATTTTTTTCAGACTTTTGACTTTTAATATTCTTTGATTGTTTACCCCTAAATGCAGGTACATCTGTATTCGTATTAATGGGGTTTTTATTTGTCGACGTTTGGCGGTTACTGTGACTGTCAAGATTTCCCTGTTTCCTCTGCATTTTACTTTCAAAATCTAGACTGCTAGGTTGCACTTTTCGTTTCATTGGTCTCTTAATATTATCTTTGGCTACACACTTCACCTTTAGACTGGAAACATCTACTGTGACTGTTTCTTTGGTTTTCAAATTTAAATCTGAATTAAAAGAAAAATATGAAATATTATTAGCAATACATATATTATACAATTTACATTAAAAATTATCAATCAGTCATGCTTTAACTAAAATGTATTTCAAGAATATAATTTTTATGAAAGTTCTTGGATTTTCAACCTTGAAGTGTTGTTGCATCAGTTTTATGAATTTCCACGCTTTGTGTTGATTCTGTGGACGCTACAATGTCCTCAATGCTATGCTCTGTTGTTAATCTTTTGAGCAATGTTGTCTTGCCGACACCTTTGCATCCTAAAATCAATCCTTGTGCATGACATATCTCGCTTTTTTCCATTTGAAGAAGTTTAAGGAATGCTGGGTATCCATTTCTACCCAGAGAAAGGACTTCTAAAGGAATTTTTACTGGAATTCAAAGAAGCGAAACCGGTACTTTTTTTTTTAAATGCAAGGTACATTAAACGATATGTATGCCATTATTTATCCTTTTGATGTTAAAAAGCTAAATCTTGCCATTGTATCTTATATCTGATTAACTACCTTGTATCTTCCTTAAATACCTGTTTATATTTTGTTTTACATACGTTTCAATGCTACTTCCTTGTGTATAGAGGAGTCTTCTATGGTTGGATGAATCAGTATTTCTAAACCAAGGCGTTCCATCAACACATCATTGTCTTTTGAACTTACTCGAAGAATTGTTTCCCCTTGTTTTGATGTGTACCCTTTTGTCCTACAATATTCTTGCACAGAGTCAATGTCAGCGTTTTTCAAAAAGTAACTAATGAATTTCTGAGAACGCACTGATTGTACTAAGCGATCTCGTTCTCTTTTTGATATAAAAGTAACAATGTCTTCTCTGCTTACAGTCAAATATTCATTAAGTGGCCATTTTATCAAAGAAGTACTTCCCAGTTTTGAAGAAAATATTTTTTGAACTTGATGTAGATGTTTCATCCAGGTTTCGTCACTTTCTGCTGAAGTGGTGTACTTTTTCATCAACAACAAGGAATACAAAAGAGGTTTTGTTTCGTCATTCAAAGCATCTAATAGAAAATAGAAACATTTGTAATTAACATGGAAAGTTCGAAAAAACTGTAATATACAAAATATAATTGTTTCTTTCACAAGCATCTTATAGCTGTTCCTGTGCTTTGATTTTGCTTTCAAGAATTAAAGCAATGGATGCTGAGATCATCTATTAATTATTTATAGTATCTAACAAAACAAACAAAAGAAAAGAAAAACAACAACAACAACAAAACCAAAATAACAACATTATATGACTGTTAACATGCACCAGACTATGTAATTGAAAACTTTTAAGATAACTTCCATAACTAGTGACGTCGCCCGCGTGGCGCAGTGGTCAGAGCGTCTGCTTTATAGTCGCGAAGTAAGGATTTGATACTTACGTCGTGGGTTCGAATCCCACTGTGGGACGTGGAGACCGGTCCTTCGGATGAGACCGTATAAACCGAGGCCCCGTGTCGGAGTAGTTGCTGGCATGAAAAAGATCCCTCACTGCTCAATGGCCGTAAGTGCCGAGTATAGGACAAAATTTGCAGCTCTCCACCGGCAAGTGGAGGCATCTACATATGAGTGAAAAATTCTCGAGAGAGACGTTAAACAACATACAAACAAAGAAACATAACTAGTGACCGGTTTTTCAGACTAAAGTACATTAATTTTGTGAATTTCCAAGTGACAAGGGGCCTAGTGTCTTTTGAAAAAAAAAAAACCCTAAGGGTACTGTGAGCAATGAACTCATTTCTCGGCAGTGTGTAAATGAGATTCTGTGAAAGTTCCATTGAATTTCATTCAGAAGGGTTGAATTAACAAAGTGGGTCCCTTTATCGTGTATAATGGCAAAGTCCTTATTTAGATTTGGGAAATCCAAAATATCTGTCTGATCAAAACTAAAAATAGGAGGCGCAAAATAGCACTATAAAATAAAGATTCCGTGAAAGTCTCATTACATTTTATTTAGTAGCTGGATTTGCGGATAAGATATTGGTACCCCCAATATTATTGAAAGAATGGCACTGTCAATGTCCTGCTTTGGGAAACCCTAAATATATGTCCCTTGGAAACGTAAAATAGGAGGTGCACAATGTCAATGTATAATAAAGAATCTGTGAAAGTCATAAGATTTCATTCAATGGTAAAGGAGGAGCTGCGATAACTGATGGTTACCCTTAAGTGCAACGGACGGACGTACTGATTGAAGAACGACACCCCATCACTATATATCCCCACTTTTCAAGTGGGGGTATAATAATAATGAGGGAGCTAAATTTACTATCAAGCAATGATTATGGAACTTGTTTCTCCCATTATACAAACATGATATGCGTATCTTAGGTTCATCTTTAAACAAGTGGAATAAAGCAGCCATTCAGAATGGACATAGAGTAAAGCAGCGACAAAGAATCATCCTAGGTATTTCAGAGCACGGTCTTAACATAAAAAAGAACAAACGTACGGGACTGAAGAAACACAGTTGATAATGGGAGAAAAAGGCTTTTGGTAACTACGGCACTACAATTCTTGCCTGCGGTCTACCAAGAATGAAGATATGATCAATTTAGGATACTGCAAACAGGGTTATTTTCGCCCATTCGCACTTACAAACAATTTTGCCCCGTTTTAAATTCGCCATTCACAGTTTTGTTTAAGAAATTATGTATTGTGTTTTTTGAAATTCGCCCACCTGTGATTAGGGCAAAAGGTTTAAAAATAAAATGGGGGAAAAATTTCTTTGTATACAGTATCTATAAATTTGACATGATATCACATTCTTGGAGATTTACCGTTTAACAAAATCAAAAACCAATTAATAAACGTTTGTTTAAATTACACGTCAGGTAACTCTTGAGGGCTCGAACTTCGATCTCCCGAAGTTCTTGATCGCTTGAAGTGAGTCTCCGGTCCCGAATTTTTCCCCTATATAACTAAGCAAATTTACTCTTGATTTCTCGAACTCTTGATCTCTCGAAACCCTTGATCCCTCGAAGTCAAAATGCAGTCCCACTATGCATATTCTATTAGAATTTACCCTCGATACCTCGAAGTGGCTACGTGTACCCCAGGGTTACATAATTAACACCTTTACCTGGGCACTTAAATGGTCCCAGGCAGAAGACGCGGGTCTCGAGGAATGGGATGTTTATTCAGGTGACACCTATGCTGCAAGGTGATAATTGATTTATAATTAATCATATTTTACCTATATGCTATTAAAATAATTATCATCGTCTGTCCTACGATAATTTAGAGACGCAATGTCAGTGGAAAGTAGTAATTGATTAAAAAACGAAACACTAATTTAATTCTTATTTCGAGTCAGTGTCAAAGTTAAACGAAATATGAAAAAGCAGAAACAGCCTCATTGTCAGTATGACGACTATTATTGGACAAATACTTACAGAACTGCGTTCAATGATCATGTTTGGAGTAGTCAATGCTATGTACGACGCTGTAAAATGTCGTTTTCATGTAACGAATGCGTAGTATGATGTCCGTATTACAAAGAATAAATAAATATACATGAAATGACGATACACATTTTTTGCGTTATTCAGTTTAATGAAATATTCGTCTAAATTACGTAAAAAATATCGTTGTTTTATAAAAACCTCGTGTAAAAGATTAGCACTGCATAAAAATCATTACATCCGGTAAGACTAATTTTAAAACCTGTCAACAAACCCGGAAAATTCCTGACTCTTGAAAACTCGAACTCTTGATCTCTCGAAGTTTTTCCTCAGTCCCGGGGACTTCGAGTTATCGAGAGCTACCTGTATAAGTAAAATGGTAATGAAAAAGGTGAAGGTAACGAACATTGACCCATCTCAAAAACAACAAAAACAAATCCTTGAACAGGGCATAAAACAGGGACCCCGATAATTCTATAGGTGGTTATATTTCATAATAAAAAGGAACTATGGCCACCATAAAATTACAAAATACTAACTTCAAACGAGGTTGCTGAAATCCCTGTAACTTTACTGTCAGTAGACTGCCTTGGTTTCAAAATTGTTTGTACGTACGCAGAGCATGCTCATCAATATCGAATATGTTGGGATACATAAACACCAAATAAATAAAGAAAATTGACAATGGAAAAGCTGAAGTCATTTCGGTTGGCATAAATTTACTTGTTAGTTTGCCGTTATCGTCTATAGTCAATAAAACATCCAAATATGAAACGTGTGTCAGACTCTGTAGTGTCTTTTATTCTGAGTTTCCTGGGATATGTCGAGTCGACATATGAATGGAAATCTCTATTTTTTATTAACATAAAGTCGTCGATATATCTAAATGTCGAGTTGAAGGCCACAGTAAGTATTTTATGCATCTCATGTAAAGGTTTTTGAATAAATTCTGCTTCATAGGAATATTAAAACAGTTCGGCTTATAAAGGAGCACAGGTAGTGGCTCTTGGAAATCCAACAGTTTGTTTGAAGACATGGTCTCCAAAGATTACATGGATGTTGTCAATGAGGAGCTCTAGCATCGTATTTTTAAGAACGTAATTTTATTGATGACCAATCACAAAATATGAAAATTTCCGAACTCAATTTTTATTAGAGAAGCAGTTGTCTAGGATATAAAAAACCTAGTTTTTAATTTACCCTGAGGAATGATTGAATAAAGTGTAGAAAAATCATTTTTTTTTTTAAGTTACTGACTTTTGAAATTTTGTACTTTAAATTTTCTAAAAAATCTTTCGAGGTTTTGAGAATCCACATTTGATTTACGTAACTTCTAGATTATGCTGTAGCACAGTACATGTATGTCTAAAGTTTTTTTCTTTTCAGTAGTTAATAATTTTGTGAGGAGTAAAGAAAGGGGCTTGGTAGAGCATTTGCTAGACCTCACAATGTATCTGTAGATGTAGAATTCAACTTGAATATTGTAGAATGGAAGACTGAACTGTTTTGAGATTAAGAATCTTATTTATGTTCAGGCATCTATTCTTTTGATGGCAAATTTAAGGAACCAATAGGTTCAAGGGAACCCAGTAAAGTTTAGTGAAAAGTTTTAAATAGTAGTAAAGTTTTAAATATGATGAAGACCCAATTATTTATTGACGTAAGGTAAAAGTGAATCAAAAGAGACATCATGTATATTTGGTCTATTGTATGATAAATGTCCATAACTACGCCTACGTCTCAGTGTAATTCTAAAAAGCCCCATCACATTCACACTTACATATTGTGGGCTTAATAGATTCTCTACATTACATGTATTAGTTGCAACCATACGAAAACGCTGCGCCTAGGTTTTGATCTACTATTTTTTTCCATGTTTACGGAATAGAGCTTGAATCAGGACTATTACCTGGATGACATTTTTTCTCCAAAATTCTTCCCCTCATTGAAAAACAAAAGATGGTCAGGCGTATTGAAATGTTTATAAAATATAAAAATGTTGATGATTTATTTCAAACCTGTGCCCCTACATTCTCTTATTGAGAGAACTCTCATTTTCCCCAATATAAATCAGTCCACATAGAATAAATTCAATTCCGTAGACAACATTTTACAAGTCCAATTTCCTCCGTTTTAGTATAAAAACTTTGTCTCGTGAGATTGCTTTTAAAAATAGACTTGTTATTAAGATATCACAAGTCTTACAAATTTAAGTAGAACATTTGGAAATTGAACACATGGGGTCCGAAAAGGAATTTGATTGAAGAGTTGTAATCTTTTATTTTAGTAAAGGTTTGGTTTGTTTTATAGCAAAACCGGTTATCCGCTGACTGTCAGAGCCTGTGTCCCTTATAGACTCTACAGATTGACCCCTTTTTATACTGGGCGCTGTGTCTTCCAGTATGGAATCGTTTATCTTTTTAATACCCATAGAAGAATATAAACCGAGAAACAAGTATCCACGGGGACAGACTGTCCACCAGCAGAATACAAGCTCAGTGGTTAAAATAATAGAGGTGACGATAACGTACAGTGATCCATCTAAAAAAATCTACAAGCAATTCAAATCTGTAAGCAGGGCGTAAAACACAGACC